CTTGTATGGAATACAAAAAAGGACTTGAGATAGATCCGCCATTTATCATATCGATCATCGCGAGAGTTTGCTCACTGAAGTGCTTTGGCCCAAAAACGAACGCTTTTGAGAATGTTTCGGATCGGATTTCTTTTTCGACCACTTCTTGTTTAACACGTTATCTTGAAAAAAAGGGTCACATGAAAAACTATGGAGTGGCGTAGGGTATTTAATGGTGGGCCGCGGCTCACTTTTTTCTTTGTATTTTTTCTATTTTTCAAAATATATTTTAATAGCAATAATAAATATAATAAAATAAGGCAGTTGGTTTTTTTCTATTTTTTTATTTAAATTTTTTTCTTTTTGTTAATTTTTATAAATCATTTCGTGTTTTCTATATTGCTATGTTAACTCTCTTTCTTTGTTTTTTACTTTTAAACTGTTAAGGCTGGCACTTTTATATAAATAAAGTTATTATTATGTGTTTAGTACTTCTTCGAAAGCAATCGTTGCGAACTTTTCATATTTTTTATCTCAATTATATTTTAATACTACCTATACCGGTTAGTAATGCAGCTTTCCTCCAATCTTGGCGCATACGTTTTTTTTATCTTCTCTATTAACATTAAACTTCGAAAGCGCCGCATATCGAATATTTAGAAAACTCCTTAATTACTTTTGTAAAAAGTTTTCCGCACAGTGATTTAATTTCGATGTAAGAAGAGTAAATCGATTTAGCGAATTAACGGGATTTTTTCTTTCTCGTTATTCTTTGCTCGCTAAACAATTGGTAAAGAGATGGCGCCGAGTTTAACTAAATTAAGTTTGTATGCTATACAAGTTAAGTTAAAAATTTGTTCTTATCCTTTAAGGTAAGTAAAAATATGATTAATTTGCAAGCAACAAAGTACCAGTCCTTGCATTTGGTATAATCATGCACTGCATAGCAAAACCATTTCTTGTCTTTCCATCAAACAAAACATCTTTAGCTGGTTACTTTTTCGTCTTCTCTTTGCGAAAACAGGATATTTCAGCGTCTCGTGGTTATGCCTCTGCAGAGTAGAAGGCGCAGTTTAAAAACGGAATTGCCTCCGCGTAATTGGTCCACATATTCACTTTACGTATCGATCAAAAATTTTTGCAATACAAAGCATGACACGGCGGAATAATTGTAACCAATACGCCAAAACAGGCTCGTGCAATATGGTAATTTTTATAGTTGTTCGATGGACGTCAACAAAATTATAAAACTGCGCATGTAATTTATGAATATCCCTAAGCAATTTTGACGCGACCTACAATGCAATATGTATGTTGTCCCAAAATCTACGCAAGATTTGAAATTGACGCCACTTGCGCGGTAAAAGAGGCGACTAAACGCTGCATCAACGAAATTAAGCTACATTTATGGAAAATTTCGATAAACGAGCCCTACGCTATATGCACTTTAATTCAATAAAAACTTAGCTCTTTGGTCGCAAACTTTTTTTCTAATCTATAGCTAATACGAAAATTAGCGGGAATAAAGCGGAGAGAAGCCTTGGTCAACAGAATTTTGCAATTTCTACACTACACCAAATGCACATCGCTAAAGCGAGCTTTTCTTGAACATGGTTCTAACACCAGGCATCTGCAAGAGAATCACATTTTTTTTTTTTTTGCATTCTCTCCATTGGGAGTTCAACGATCATCATTTACCGCAGAGAAAAAGTTTCGGATCAATAAAGGGAACTTCGCTTTTGAAAGTGGACAAAAAGGTCAGTTCAGGCTTATAGCCAGAAATTCCCAAAATTAGTACAAGTGTTCCCTAACATTCATTAAGGCATTTTCGTACACTCAACATATATTGCTATAGAGAAGCTTATAGCAACAATGAGGAGGGTGAGAAGGACACTACTTTAGTTTTGTCTATAGTAATAATTATCAATGACAATTGAGTTATACAATAATAATCATTACTACAATTAATAATTGATAGCACTGTCGTGAAGAAAAGTAAAGATAAAGACATAAGATAACGTAACTCTATCGTATAATATTACAAATAAAGTCAGGATTTAGATGTGATTTATACGTCATAAAAACTCTTTATAGTTAATTTAAATCTACTCGGGCTAATAATCACTTTGATATGCATGGCGCGATAACGAGTGCCGTAACTGTAGATTGCGGCTAATGTTAAGGTTAATAGATGGACTTCTCTAAAAGTATTAACTTCGCTTTGATTAGAGAAAGATGGATTAATGACCGGTACGTCTGTGTAGAATATATCATTTATAATTTAATATATTTGTAAAGTAGGTTTTCTAACGTTATTTAAAAACAGTTTGATGACTAGTTTTTTTTAAACGATCATGGAAGTAATTATAAATAGAACTTAAAATAACTTAACATAGTAAAAGTTTACACTTTAATTGAAATAGTTTTCCAACACAATTACCTCCATCTTCTAAAATATTGTTTTTCTATACCCATCACTTGAAAGTATCGGAAATATGTAAATTCATCTGCAGTAGTCACTCTTGTCTCTAAAGGGTTTGCAAGTTCATTACGGAAAAATACTTAGATAACCAATGCGTGTTAGAGGGGGAAACTTGCATTACAATCAATTCTTAATTAAGAGAATATTTATCCAAGGATAACATATAAAATATTTACTGCAGTATTCTATCAATTTCTGTAAATTTTGTTGGGACATCGATCTGTGCCGCAGTTAGTAGTTGGACCCACGATCGTTGAGTTGTTAGTAGAGATCCTTTACTTACTCTGCCATTCGTAAATTAATAAAAAAAAAATTTCTGCCTTTCTCGTCCATATGCCCGGCAATTCCCCTCTCTTCCCCCGAAGTTTTTCACCTAAGCAAGTGTTGGTTAAGTGCTCTATCTATTTTTTCGAATTTAAAATTTTGCAAAAGTTACACCACATGCCGAAGAGTATTTTTACGAGAAAGGCTCCAGTGTTGCCTTTTATTAATATTTCTCAAAAATAGTTTTATTTTTTTAAAACATAAATATGTATTTAATAACTTTCTCGAATATTAGGTGCTTTCATAAATTGCGGTTTTTCCAAAATTTTCTTTACTGGAAATTGATCATTATTATCTGCGAGATCTTTTGCATTTTTTCAGGTAGTTTTATAATTTCGTCGGCGTAGGACTTCTAAGGTTTGTATAGGCATCGATTCATCAAATCTAGTGGCAACAAACGTTGCAGACTTTTTATATTTTGATAATTTTTGCCCGTGAAGAAGCCATTTATTGAGAAATATTGGTGCATTATATATTAATAAAGATATTTTGCGTCACCTTCTTTCAAGTTTTTCCCGATATTTCTGGCAACACGTCGATACTGTGTCGAAAGAACGATATCTCTTTGGCCTTTTTCGAACATTATTATTCTATCACGTTTCCTTCTATTAAAAAAAAACCCTTTTTTGGCTGTTGCAGTAGCCTTCTCCCTTCATTGTCTTCTCGTGTTAACATGGAAGCTAAGACCACGAATCACTTAATATCTCAAAAACTCTTATTTACAGCCTGATGTTCTGGCATTATCGTCTTGTTAATTGTGATAAAGTAGCGATTGTGTGCGCTTGTCAACGCTTTCGCCATTTTTGTTCAAATTTAAGCACATGGTTGATAGTGCACGAAAATCTCATATTATTGTGCAAAAAAATGAATAAGAAAATTATGTTCGGCTGTGGCTGAATCTTTTGTACCCACTATCACCATTTTAGAAAAGATTATAGAAAAACCCGTAAAGGTTATTGTTCTTTAATATTATGTGCGTGTGACTGATTGTTTCCAAATTTGTAGAATACACATATAGAAATTTTTATCGTGTGTTCTTTATAATTTCGATGCACTCAGGATAAAAATGGCGTCTGTTCTAGTTTATAAACAATTTAGTTTACTACTGCTGTGGGCGTCCTCTTACCGTTTCTGCCAAATTTAAAGGCGAGAAGTTCCTTCTTGCAACCAGGAGAATGTTTACCATAGACATTTGGCAGACAGACAGGCGGACAGACATGCTTAAATAGATTAAGAATTTGATTCAAATCAAGAATGTGTATACTTTACGGCAAGTACGAAACTTGTTTTTAAGGCTTAACTGTGGGGGGGGATACAACAATGACACGGTGTCACAAAATGGAACAAGTTGCAGGCAAGTCATTAATATATTATTTTACTATTTGCTTATTTTCTATAGAATTGACATTTTGTACACTTTTCTATTGTAGTTTCTTTCAATGTTTAAGATTTTTCTGCTTATGTCGTCGCGCTATACCTTCTTATTATGATAACAATATTTAGTAACCTGCTCAAGAGTACAACAAAACAGATCACGTTTTTTGAAGTTTCCAAGTTTATGATTAAAAGCCAGAAAACCAAATTCTCACTAAAAATTGATAAACCGAGTTTTACAGTCGCCCGTTGGAAATATATGGTTAGTGAGCGATTGTGCTCAGAACAACAATATAAGAGACGTCGTGGTGATGGTGCTCAGAATGCGGCTATTAGTGTGCAGCTATATTTAACAGACTATATATGTGATGGGTATCGATATTTCGTCTTAAACTAGATTTTAAAATTAAAATTAAGAAGAACAAAAATATCAACGTATTTCGTCGTCTAACAATAAAGAAATCGAAATAATTGTAGTAAGCTTATGGGACTTAAAGTTAATTTTAATTGCAAAATAAAATATAAAGATAAATAAATATTTATGATTTTGTACAAAGCAAATGCATTTAGGAATTAAAATATTTTCAAAAGTTTTCAAAAGAATTATCTTCTTTTCTTTCTTCTTTATCGGGGATTAGCTGTTGCCTCCTTCGCGTGAATTCCTTTATATATAAATGAGAAAAAACCTTAAATTTCACTTAAATTAATTAAACTTAGATTAGAAAAAAATTAAAAAAACATTTTTTTTTTCAAAATTGGTTTTAAAACAAAACAAGAATTTTTTTTTTTTTTAAATTTTCTCCAAAACTATAAACAAGAAATTCTTATTATAACAAAAACAAAAAAAAAAAAAAAAAAAAACAAAAAAAATGCGCACACACATCCATACCTAAATTTACTTATTTAAACAATGTCTTGCTAGGCGTTGGAGGAGGAAAGGAAAAAAATAACCTAAACTAACCATGGGCTAAAGAAATTACAATAAATTAGTTTTTACACAATTTTAACAGGACAGTCCATGTAGTCGGCATCGAAGCGAGCTAGAGTCTTTTTCACTCGTAACGCGGTTAGGCGCACTGAAGGGTTGGGATGCCAGCATTCTTGCATGATTTTTGCAATTGTAGCTAAAACATCATCTTCCTGCCAACGTGACGGGATAGGCGGACGAAAACCTTTTACGCAGACTACAACATGCATATCCTCAAAAGTAGGCTCGGAAGGCACCACATCATGATAGGGCGGAGCGTAATCTTCGCAAGTGGTAGCCTTAGATCCGGGTATAGGCGTATAGCAGCGTCTTGCCATCTCCCATAATACCAAACCCACTGAGTACATATCAGCCCTTTTAAATTCATCAATTTGTTGCGGATTCATTGTTTGATTGAGCACTTCCGGGGCCATATAACGTCTAGTACCTACTCGGGTGTTTTGAGCAATATGTATTTCATCCAATTCGGAAATATATTTAACAGCCAAACCAAAATCTGCTATAGCACATTGGCCGTTGCGTTTAACTAAGATATTTTTACTTTTAATATCGCGATGGGCAATGGCCGGTTTGCCGGGCGAACCGAATATCTCTTCATGTAAATGAGCTAGGCCCGACGCGAGAGAGTAAGCCAACAAATGCAATTTTTGAGGATTAATAACCGAGCTGGATAAGTAATCGTATAAACTACCATTTTCATGATAATCGGTTATCAATATCATTTGGGCCCAGCTACCGTTGCATTTGATGTCGGCCGCAATAAAGCCCAAAATATTTTCATGACGCATTAAGACAGTTTGATAAATTTCAGTTTCACGAAACCAAGAAGTCTCCTGTGTATACTTGAACGTTTTAACGGCAACTTTCTCATCGCGCCACTGAGCGAGCCATACTTCGCTGTAACGTCCTTTCCCAATTAAACGCACCATTTGAATTTCTTTTGCTATGGTACGTTGTACCAGCAAAGGTAAACCTGAACCCGAGCCCGAACTTTGACCGACCATTTGTGATAAAGGTGACAGTTGACTATTGCACATACTACCTATGAGACGCGGTTGCTTACGTAGTTTCTCTCTTCTTTTATAAGTCATGCAAACAATTACAATGATCACGACAAAGGCGGATAAGCAGATGATCATCGACGCAATCATAGCCAGATAATGCACCGATTGCGAGCTTACTGGCAATTCTGGGGCGGGTGTAGTAAGTTTCGGCGTAAAGGCGGGATGTAAATGGCGATTACATAAGTCACCACTATTACAGCAATCGATATTTTTGCCATGCAGGTTCGGGACCGCAGCCACTTTGCACTAAACGAGACCAGACGGGAGAAAGAGATAAACAAAAACTTAATTACTTTAAATTCATGTTAAAAAAAAAAAAATAAAAATATGATCACATATCATAACTGTCTACTAACCATTAGGAAACCGCCATTTTCTTCGGGTGGCATACAACCAAACGTTCGTTCTTCTTCATAAGTTTGTGTGAATTCGTCATAAACTTCTTCCACTGCACTAAAACAATAACCTCCGGGACGTGTTTCGCAGGTGCCATTTATCACATTATTTGGACAACTGCCGTCACAATAGCATGTCAGTGTACGCGCTATAGAAATAAGAAATAAGCGCGAAAGGAAAGACAATGATTAGATTTATGGCTATTGTTTCAACAATTTCAGGGAATGTTCAATTAAATAAAAGCTCAAAACTTTTCATTTTATACATGCATGACCAGAGTAAGTTTATGATATAATTTCGCTCTTTTCGTTAAATTTAAACACACTTTTACAATAGTTTATCATGATATTTACCAAGTTAAATGAGTAAGTAAGTAAGTAAGTAAGTAAGTTAATCATATGTTAGTTAATTATGAATTGAAATGATCGTATCATGCAGTTTATTTAAATGATATTTAAGTTAAAAACAATTATAACCTGTGGAGCACTTTAACACATAAATTCTTTTCTCATTTTTAAGACAATATTTATTTCGTCCATACATATATACAAATGGAGCAGCAGCAGCAGCAGCAGCAGCAGCAGCAGCATATGAGTTAAGCACGAATCTTGCTACCGGTTCTTACTCTTCCTTATTATTCACATTTAAGATAAACACTTGCCTTACACCGACTTATGCTTACGAATGTATGAGTATTGAATATTGCGCGTGTCTGGACTTAAAAATATAGAATTTATGTGCAAAGGCAACAACAGTTAGACAGTGAGATCGAATCTTAGGTGCCCTTCAAATTAGAAAGTTTTTCTTCTCGTATCTGATAGACATAGCGATCGGAGCTACCTCGGGATCTACTATTAAAATAAATCTAATAGGTAAGTATTCGAATCGGAATTCAGCAAAGTGTCTCTCATGGATTATTAGTAAAACTATTTGGGACTAACTTTTTGGCTTTTGAGTTACTGTTCAGTTTTTCAGCGGAATCTTATAGTAAAGACAAAGTTCTTAAGCACAGAATGAAGTCTTGGATGCTAATTACACTCAGTATTTCTATACTCCTCGTAGGATCAAGTTCAAAGAGATACAAATGTAATAATTTTATTAATATATATTTATTATCTTGTAGTGTGTGTGTGTGTGTGTATAAAAATAAACGCAGCAGCAAGTAATAATGAAAATGATTATAACACCAGTCCAGAGTAAAACAAAAAAAAAAAAAAAAAAAACATAAAAACACAAAATAATATATTAAGAGAAACATAACATACATACATACGTAAATGCATAAATACATTAAAATGTCTTTGATGCCTACACATACAAACATACAATATAAGTAAATATCTATGGTTATGCTTAATGTTTCTGCATGCGTATGCATTTAATGCAGCACGCACGAAATACATAAAGTGTTTGTTGAATTTGTATGTCGCTCGGGACTTTTTTGGAATAAGGCAGTGTGTGTGTGTGTGTGTGTGTATGTATGTACGTACGCAGTCGTTATAAACATTAACAGCACTACGTACATGCTGAGCTCGCACATTAACTGCATATTATTCTAAGGCTTGAAAATACATGCAGCAGCAGCAGCAACAGCAGCAGACAGACAGCAACAACAAACACAGCAGCAAGCAACTAGTGTTTGTTCTTGCCTTATGAAGAAGAAAAAAACAAAAACAAAACATAAAAAAATTGAAAAAGCAGAGCAAAATACATACATATGCATTTACTTAAAACACGTACGGCTATGTAAGCAAGCATTTGTCTTATATATGTTTGGGTGCCTTTATAAGAGGCTCCAAATTGGCGCCGTTTGCCACCGCATGCTTTAAATAGTCCAGTTTAGATAGGCATACGCACTTACTTGCATAAATGCCTATATATATATATATATATCATTTATACATTTATATATATATATATATATATATGTGTGTGCATATGTGCACGATCTCTTTCCGTTCGTTGTCTGTCAATTTTGTTGTTACTATTATTATTATTGTGAATATTATTATTATTATTATTATTCATTTTTTGACTTTTGCCGACTTGTTGTTGTATTGTGTTTCGGTCTTTATTTATATTTTTTTTCCTTTCCTTGCTCCTGTTCGTTCGACACAGTTTTTTTATGTTGTTATTTTTGTTCGTTCACATGTGGTCGCTATGTTTATTGAATTCTTTAAACGTCGTTTCGTTATTTTTAGACCTCTTTTTGATATTAAATTATTTAAAAACAAAAAATAATAATAATAATAAAAAACACTACGTTTATTAACTCGGAAATCAAGAGTCAAAAAATTTTATTTGTCCTCTACGCATAGTGATAGCATAAATTTTGAGATAAATGAATGAATGTATAAAAAAAGTTTAAATGATCTTTAAATTTCATCAACAATTTCAGGTTTAAATTTTGTTGTTATCTTCTTGTTATATATATATAAATATATATATATATATATATATATATATATATATACATGTTTGTATCAAATATTGCGTAATCTTCATGATAAAAATATGTTCATTAATGTCTTGAAAGTATTGATGTGTATATATATCTTGTTTTATGCTACTTGTAAATATATGTTAAGATTTAATAAATAATCTTTTGTCCGAAAATATCATTTACTTTTCGTTTTTTTAGTGTTTTTGGCTTGCATTTTATGCTTTCTTTAAGGAAACATGCTTAGATATATGACTACGATAGCAAGAACAACAGAGCAACATTTATTCAGCTGGGTTCGGTTTACAGTTCTCATTGTGAATCAACTTTTAACGAGTAAGCAGCTCATAGTACTCGATAGCGTATCAACTTTGCTTGACATCGAATTTAAAATTTCATTGGTATGCGATCAGCAAATCATGAGATTTCCTTTAATAACATTCATAACACCTTTGTGTGCTGATGATCCATCTCCAGTTGCATGAACTCATATCCAGAACTATATTTCCTTGTATCATATGCGTACTGATGTCAACATATATATCTTTCATTTCGACTTTTTACACAAATTTTTATCAAAACAAATCAAATGAATCAAATAATCTGAAATATCTATCTTTTATATTCTACATCGTTCATGGTGGATTACTGCTACATAGCAATCGATTCTAAATTATTTTCATCAACTTATGGTTGCTCGTCGGATTCCTATCCAGAGGTTGCCATATTTTCACGAAATTTCGAGGTCTGATGTTGTTTGGCCCACGATCGTTACCTTATTTAAAACGAATTTGTTCGACCATTTTGCTAACATTTCAAGTGCGAAAATTTATTTTGAGAGAATGTTTGTTTGCTATCTTTTAAAAGCGAAAATCAATGGAAAACAGTATTTTAGTATATTAAATGAATGTGGGAAATTTAACTTGACTGGAATCATATTTTGAAATCACTCCTGTATAATCTACATTAGTACGAAAAGGAAGCCTTTGTTTGCCAAGCGAGATCTGGGTGAAAAAAAGCAGAAAAGGATTGGCACTTTGTGAGCTCGACTCCGGCAAAAGGTAGACCTTCTCATCTAACAACAAGTGAAACATTATAGTTAGGCAGTGTCGGCCATTAAATACCATACATCATTTCGCTTAATACCGTATAATAAGGTCATTTAATGGCTTTTGAAAATAAGATATTATATGAGAAGCGGTTGAAAAAGTGGTCCAGCCCGAACCATTTTCAACAGCGCTCATCTTTGGACCGAAAGGCAAATTTCATCAAAACATTTCAAATATTGCGATCTAGATGTTGAGCACAAGATATTTGAGACGGACCGACAGGAAAATTTAGATCGATTCAAAAAATTGGATCTATCTCAAGTTCTTCAGAGTATTTCATGCATCCGCACTAACTTAACACATCTTTGCATACTCTTGTACAAGGGGTGTATAGAGTATAATAAACTACAATTTTTTGGTATTTGGGAAATAAATGAAGAAAAGCGTATTCATGGCGTAATGGTCGGTCCTGTCCGGTTTGTTTTATTTTCTGTACATTTTGTATATTGTTATGGTACACAGTGTTTTTGGTTAATAATAATAATAATAATATTTTTGCAAAGTTATGAATATTGTGTTTACCAATTCACTTACGATTAAGTAAGTAATTACAATGGTTAAAGTTCTCTTCTTTATCGTAGCGTCAGGAATTTCATTACAAGTTTTGAAGCGAAATGATCGCAATGAATGTTTTACTATTTAAAGTCAGTCAAAATAGACGATTAAGTCAACGTTTTATTATCACAATTGAAAGGTTTTGTGCAGGAAGAGAAAGTTATTAAGAGGTTCGTTGAAAGGCTTCGTATGCGCAATATTTATACCGTATGAGTCTAATAATGTCACACACTTTTCCTCAAAGTTGTTAAGTCTTAGTTTCCATAATAATTTTTACGATATTTAGAACTGCTAACACAATTTAATAGAATGACTCAGAAAAGAATGCTTTTATAATTTGCTGCTGCGTTGGCCAACAAGTGTTTCACGAGAAACTTCTTAGTAGACGGCGAGGCGCTTCTAAAGTTAAGCGAATGACTTTATGTTCAGCCGACTATGGCAAGTAGCGACTTCACCTTTAACAAAATTAAAAACGTCACTGGCTTTTTAATGACGGCTTTGTGGTGTTGGAAACACAATTATGGCGAATGTATATTTTGTGAGTCAAGGCGATTACGTATGAGACAAGGTATTGAAATTTTTTAATGCAACTGTATGGATGAAAATTTTTTTATCCGTTCTCAAGTGTAAGTTTTCTCCGATTTCGTTAAAAATTAGTGGAAGCTTTTCACGCCAAAAATGGAAGTTTGAATTTTCTTCTTCTCCTAAAGTTACCATAGGAGCCATAGGATCCTATTCTGCGTATATAGTCAATAATGTAGTATAGCTTCCTCTGAATAAATATAAGCAAGTTTATGCAACAACACCACATCGGCCGCAGTTAGTGCATATTACGCTCTATGCGTTCTAACAAAGTTGTCACTAAAACCTTTTGTTTATTGATACATGTATTTGTAATAAATAAAGATTATTAAGATCTAGTTAATAAGTTTTTAATTTCAAGCTATTTATTACATACCTTTTTCATAGCCAACTAATAATTAAATAATTTAAGCGTATTGTGTGTTGTTTATTCATTTCTCTAATAAAAACAAAAGTTTTACG